AAGATATTCAAACATTTTTAAATAATTGTAAAGTGTGCCTTAAAAAAAGGGCGAATGAAAAGAAAGGCTTGGTGGTGGTGGTGTTTTCTCATTTTAATTTAAGATGTCAAGTAGATTTAATTGACTTCCAATCACAGCCAGATAAATTTAAATTTATATTGATATAGCAGGACCACTTAACAAAGTTTGTTATTCTTAGAGCTCTTAAGAATAAGACAGCTACTGAAGTTGCTGATCAACTCCTTCGATTTTTTTTACTATTTGGGGCACCATCTATTTTGCAATCGGACAATGGCCGAAAATTTGTTAACCATTGCTGATTTGAAAGGTTTATGGCCTGAATTAAAAATTGTTCATGGAATTTTTATGTTATAACTAGCTCTAGTGCAATAATCAATAATTAATTTAATTATTCGCTAAACTAAATTTTATTTTGAAATTCATCAATTAACGCTTTGACTGCAGTTGGTTAGTAACTGCACGCATTACCTAGTTAATGGATGCAGTTACTACTTAAAGTGTTCATTCCAATAAAATGGGAAGTGAATGTATGCATTGGGTAGTAAATGTTTACATTGACTAGAATGTACACTTTGACTGCAACATATACAATTGACAAACAGACCCCATACGATATTGTTACTAATCAGAAGATCCCCCATCAACAAACGAACATTCTAACCACAGCTCGCAATTTTTTTCTTAAGACTTCTTCTTCGAACTTCTCTTTTATCGGTGCGCTTTCGTTACATTGATGTGCGCGATAAATTACCGCTTTACCGTTATCTAGTGTAAAAATTTTAGTCGTTGTATTTGTTCATCCAGTATTTTAATAACCAATTAACGGCTTATCCAAGAGCGGTTAATGGGGTTTAGCTTCTCGTGTTGGCCATCTTTAATTGGTCGTCACCGCCGTTGTTGCATTTAATGAAGTATTCTCCGACGCTGAAAACTAAATTAAACCTAAAGAAAAATAATAGACCGAATCACTATACAGCGGAGACTCTATTATCCGAACGATGTTATTTTGGGAGTTCCCAAGTCCCGACTGTCTGCGAGCGTCGGTGATTTTGAGGTTCAAATTAAAGGTATATCATTTTTTTAGAGTAGATAGATGTTCTCAATTGCTAGTATTGCGCCATTAGTATTAGGGGATCCCCCATTGGGCGAAAAAATTTTTATTTAATTGTCTGTTTGAGCTAAGGCGTTCAGATTTATATCTTTTTAAACAGCCTATGAAACACATAAACTCATGAAAAATTGACGCGATGGGACTTCGGCGTCTACGTTTTATTTTTAGATTTTCGACTGTTTATAAATGTTTATAAGTGTCCGAAATTTGCAACTACCGACTTGAAATTTGTCAAACGTATGGAGCTTGCCTCCTTAACGAAGTCTATTGAAACTGGGGGGGGCTGGGGGGTCGGGAAGTATTTTTAAAAAATTAAAAATTCCATTTGCAACGTTTCGAGAAAAAATAGTTTCTCAAAAAAACGGTACATACGATCGAAAAAATTCTTGAACTAAAAATCTCGCGAGATCCAGACCAAAAGCTTTTATTCCTGATGATTCTTTAAAAATCTACAGGATGCGTCCGTAATTTGTAAAAAACTGAAAACTAGAAGGCTGATTTGTCATATCCACACCTAAACACCAGAAGTTAAGCACATTCAAATTTCAGGTATTTTTTTAATTTGGATTTTTTTTTTGCTTTATTTTGGCTCAGAAAAAAAATTCTCGAAAACTATTTAGCCGATCGGCAAAATTATTGAGCCAGGATACTCGAGATATCCAGGAGTATAACTTTTATTTCAGGCGTTTATTCCATTATATCGAGAAATATCTGAAAACCCTTACAATTGTTCTTTCCCATAGTAAATTTTTAGCCGTAAATCAAAATTAGTAAAAAATGTGGCAAATGGTTTAAATAGTGTTATAGGCCACATCGAGAGCTACAATTTTAGTAGTTACGGTTTTCGTCTGTCACATACGCTGTTCGAGATATTTGGAAAAATCCAAATGAAAATCATCGTTTCTCGCACTCGCTCTAGATTCGATAATTTACTAATACGACGTAATGCACGGTTTCAGAAAGCAAGTATGTTCTCGAAAACAATTTACTCTATTGGAAAAATTCATATACCAGGAACGTGGGAGATCCAGGGCTATAACTTCTATTTCGAACATTGAATCATATACAGAGTGTACCGTTTATGGATAAAAACGTCAAAAAGTTACTAGAAATTTCCGTTTTTGAGTGCAAATTACTAGCGATAAATAAAAAAAGATGTGATAATAATTTGATTTGAACAGTATCGAGACGTGCATAGTCATTTTGGTAATTAACTAATTTACTGCACACTTCAGTTAGAAAATCCCCAATACCACCAAAGTTCCTTAAGTATAGGGACCTAAAGCAGATGACCGAGAACGCTCGATGTAGACTGGGTTTTTCATGACACTGATATTGAGGTAAAAGTGACGAGGGTAACGGAGAAAATGTTATTGTTCTATTACTTTTATTTTCATTTTTGCGTATTTAAACAATATTACTTTTTTCCCACGTGTATTGTTATTGTTAGCTCATTTACTTATTTATTTATCTTTGTTGTATATTGCCTTGATGCAAGTTGTTTTACGGAATGTTTTTTACACAGTCGGTTAAGTCAACAACTGCCCTTTGCCGAGTGAAAATAAAGGCGTTTTCATTTATTTATTTTATTTTTATGTTATCGGTTTATTCCAATAATTCTTATAAATTTGGACTGTATATTTAACTTAGCAACATTATTTTTCAACAATATCTGGTAAGATATTTTTGTTCATCAATATCGCTGGTAGTTCAACATGTAAAGATTAGTTTCTTAACAACTAAGCATAAACACTAGACAGACTAGACAACACAAAAAACAAATTAAAAAGCAGAATGATGTTTTAAGTTGCCTAAAATTCCTTAAAGTTCTTATGTTACTTACGTAGCTTTGGTCGTTAAATGCATCTTAAACGGATTTTCGCAAAAGGTTGCATTATGTATTCGTCTTAGGTCTAACAAACGATATTTCCAATATTTTCCAATAAGCCTTAATCAACAAATAAATCAACCGACACTAAACCCTGAAACAGTTTGGGAAAATTTTTAATTCGTACATAATCCATATATGATTTGCATTATTAGGCCGTTAAAATTCCTTGACTTAACTTCGTATGTTATAAACGGCCACCATTTGTCAAGAAGTTAATTGCCGCATTTAAATATTTTGAACTCGGTACTCGAGCTTAGCGTTCTCACTCTTTATAATTTAAATTGGTCAGTTACTAGTAAGTACGTTTCAGAATCGCTTTACAAAAATTAATGAACTTTATAAACACGCCCAACTTTTACTTGAATAATATATAATGGGTGTTTTATTTCGATGTATAGAACTTTAAGTTGGCATTACTGCTCACGATGGCGACCGATTTAACAGCTGTCAAATGATTTATTCTCAGTTTGGTTTGGCAATTCATCATGAATAGACTCACGCCTTACTCAACGCTTGCAAATAGTGCAATTTTATTTCGAAAATAATGGTTCTGTGCGGAATACGTATCGCGCACTACGTCCATTTTATCGTCGACAAAATCGTCCATCAGAGCAATTAATTCGATTAACCATGGAACGTTTTCGCACCACGTTTGCTCTTATTGATAACTCGCATCCCCAGAGACAGAAGAAGTTGTTGCTGCTGTAGAGCGTAGCATTGAGGAAGACCCGAATGAGTCCATCCGCCATCGAGCGCAGGAATTGGATCTGTGTCCATCACTTTATGTAAGATTTTGCGGAAGCATCTTGGTTTACGTGCTTACAAAATCCAACTCGTGCAAGAATTGAAGCCAAACGATCATCAAGTAAGGCGTAGATTCGTCGAATGGGCCCAAAACGAGATTGCCGTTCTTCCCGATTTTCATAAGCGAATTTTGTTTAGCGATGAAGCGCACTTCTGGTTGAATGGCTACGTCAACAAACAAAACTGCCGCATTTGGAGCGAAGCTAATCCTCAAGTGTATGTCGAAACACCGTTACATCCAGAAAAACTGACTGTTGGGTGCGCTTTATGGGCTGGTGGAATCATTGGTCCGTACTTCTTCAAAAACGATGATGACCAGAACGTTACAGTCAATGGTGATCGATATAGAGCTATGATTACTAACTCTTTTATTCCTGACTTGAATAACTATGATGTCCTGGAGATGTGGTTTGAACAAGACGGCGCAACATGTTACACAGCTCGTGTCACAATAGATTTATTGAAAGACGCGTTTGGTGACCGCCTAATTTCACGTTTTGGACTTGTGAATTGGCCTCCAAGATATTGTGGGGCTATGTAAAGTCATTGGTCTATGCGGATAAGCCACAAACGCTTGACCATTTGAAAGACAACATTCGCCGTGTTATTGCCGATATACGGCCACAAATGTTGGAAAGTCATCGAAAATTGGACGTCCGGGTTGAACTACATCCGCGCCAGCCGTGGCGGTCATATGCCAGAAATCATATTTAAAATGTAATGCTGCAAGATTATCTTTCGGATAAATAAAATTCATGTCAATCGAATAATCCATCGTTGTTTTATTGCAACTTAAAGTTCTATACATCGAAAAAAAAAACACCCCTTACTTACCTACATTTAAAATTTAAAAGTTCAGCTAGAGGTTTGAAAAAAAAAAGATTTGTTGGAAACATCATATACTTAACTTTTTTTTAATTTTAATTTTTTCCGCTTTTAGTAGTAATTTCCTTCTAAAGTGTGGCCCAGTGCAACACAATTTTCTGAGACAGTTTACGTCATGCACCTGATAAAAATATTTATATTCACTTTAAAATTAGTGACTTGGACGTAGTGAAAAAATTTTTTTCGAAGGCAATACATTTTTGTTTTTTCAAATCACAATTCTTTCAATATGTACATAAAGAACTCGGTATCCGAAGGGAATAAGAAAGAAAAAAAATATCTGTGTAACATCTCTTTATTCGTTAAGACTTCCTGAGCAAAAAGGTTGCACTTGAATCATAGTCTAATCCTAATAAATTCTAAGTGGAATCAAACTAAATAACTATTTTATATAAAACAAATCCTTTGTCGAAAAACTGATGGATCTACACTTAAAAAAAAGGCGCCATAAAATAAGTACATTTGTAAACCTAATAAAACGCTAAAAAATAAAACTTATCGATAGTAGGAAAATGGCGAAACAATGTGGGAGCCAAGGGGAAATTTTTTGATATTTTAACCGTTACGGGCCAACCCACGACCCTCGGCTCAACTACTGCGTGGTGTATAATAAGATAAAATTGCGACATATTATTAAAATGGCACGGCACGGCACTGGTGGTGAACGTAAAGTCTCAAAAATAACAATTCTGGTTAATCGTTATCGCGATGTGTTTTATTTTGTGTATAAAACAGTCACATAACAGCAAATTTAGTTCCGAATACTATTTATCGGTGAATTTAAGCACACTCATTTAACTTGTAAACATTCCTTGATGAACGAGTGAATCTGACACGTGACTTTTTTTCAAAATATTACAAAAACTTCGACAAATGACGGTTAGTAAACGTATTAGCTACCCTACAATTTTCTAATTTTTTTTTCAAAACGTTTTCAGTCATGAATTACACGCCTAAATAGTCAAGTTAAAAATAAGAACACAGTAATAATTATATTAATTGATCCGAGTTAATTTTTAAAACTTTACGCATCGCTTTATAACACACAATATTATTATTTTTGTACAATTCTTAAATAAACGAATAAACTACTAAACGGGTTTCAAGGAATGGCAATCACAACCCGAAATGTAAAATTAATAAAAATATATAATTAAAAAATGTGATAAATTGCAAATAAAGCGGACCGTCAATGGTTGACGACGCTGCTTGCCCAAGTATGAACCCATTTTGTAAACTCGTCGGTGTCGTTCTATATTCACAGTATTCAACTGAAACCCTGCGAAAATCGTTTGATTAATTTTCGACCTTAACTATGGACAACGTAACGGCACACATTTGAAAAGGTGTGAAACTGTTATGAAAAATTTTCTAGAAACGAAAGACCAATTCTAATTTTCGCTTGATGTCTTTTCACCCTAAATTAATTCAAACGTTTGTGTCCCATTTTTTGATGGCTTTACGGAGTAAAGCTAGCGAGTTAGGACTTTTGATCCAAGGCTGACTTTTTATGAAATAATAGATGCCACAACGAAATAATTTTCATAAATATATAAATAGGAGCTATTTCAAATACAAAACAGACATCTCAGAAAAATTTTTTATGAGTTGAAAAGATAGACTTTTTCACTTAAATTACATACAACTGCCAAAATGTGTGCAATATTAAATGGACATTCACATACATCCCTATTAGGTCCAACTTTTCATAACTGTTATATTTTGGCTTAATATGGCTATTGCAGAAAGAAGAGAAGGAAAGACCGAAGAAATTAAAATTATAATTACGAAATGTCACAACTGAAGTATTTAGGAAAATAGTTGTTATCTGGCACATATATCGATAGTAAATTTATAACATATATATCAAAATTTAAGATTCGGAAAGAAACCGACTACGCTGAATTCTACGTATTTCTGTTCCGAACAGTTTTAGTTAGTTTGTTCCATAATTTAAAGCAAAACCGAGGGTGTCCAAAAATGCAAATGCAAAAAAAATACCGTGTATCTAAAAGTTCAAAATTGCTATGACATTTTTGTTTGTGTCTCCTTTCATTTAAAAAAAAAACAACCTTGGATCAGGAAAGCAACAGCACGTGAGCTTTATAAATAAGGGAGGTACACCGAAAAACCAATCAAAATGGAGCAAACTGCGAGCTCAACAAAATATTCAGCTAAGATTTTTATATACTACTAATCTAAAAAAAATAGTAGTGAGAAACGTGTTTCTGAGCAAGTTATTTAACTGCAATGTAGGTTTGTTAATTCAAAGTTATATTCACGAATCGGGCCTTAATAATCGGCGTTAACGTATATATTACCGTTATATTTAGTTTGTCAGATTTGGTATCGATAGTTGGTATAAAAATGACCATATTTTTCGTATATTTATACATTTACAGATTAAATAAAATTCTTCGATCAATGTAAATAAATTACTAGGCGGTATTTTACTAGGCAATATTTAATTTATGGGCCGATTTTTAATCCAATCGCACTTAAGAAGCTCTTCGTATCGCGTAATACCTCTACTTAATTTTCTTGCATTATCTGAGTGGTTTAGATTAGTTTTCGTCTGATAATGGCAGCCTAGATTCGATATTAAAAGTGGCTGTAAAAAAGTACGTCGAAAATAAACAAATGACAAATGTACTTAGCGTGAGTACCGCAAAAGTGAAGAATATCCGAAAACTCTTCTTTCTTAATACCATTTATCTATACCAAGTCTCGTTTAGATACACCAAATACACTAAAATTATGGTGATAATGATAATTGCTTAATTCTTGGTATTTATTACCGTATTGATTTGATTTGAGAATTTGAGAATGATTTACAGCCGCTAAGCGCCATTTGGAAAACTACTTCTGTACCAACATAAAAGCGTGTATGAAGACTTACCCAGTTCCAAGCTTCCCGATAGTTTTCTTCAAAAGAGACAGATCGCTGAACAAACTAGGTCTGATATCGTTAGGTTCATCCCAGGCCCGCCCACTGCATAAAATCAGGCAATTCCCTAACCGGTACGTCACGGGCGTACGCTTTCACGCGCAGGTTACGGTCCTCCGTCAGCAGCACTACTTCTCTGACAATGTGTCTGGGTTCGCCTAGAGTATTGACAAAAAAAAATAGGAACAATTTCATCAAATAGGTAGTGTTCAGCAATTTGAAACATTAAGATTGTCGGACTTTTCCAATTAATCTCACAAACACTTTAACTAATAATTAAATGTATTATTAATAAATTAAAAAAACTGACTCTTCCAAGTCTCTGAGAACTCTGCATCACGGTTAGTGTCCCGTTGAAAAATCTGCTGGACTAATAAAGTGAACTTTTCCAAATATATACAGTATACAGGCTCTAATAGGTAATAATGTACATTTTAGAAATATACCGATGGCAAGTAGAAAAAAGTCACAAACTTAACTAACCCACAACTGCAAATTAAAAGTAATCTCTACCTAGGTAACTTCAAACTGAACGTTCCGAATTCTGTAAATGACCTGGGTATTACATTGGATTCTCATGGGTTTAATAATAAAAAAATCTTTAACACGTTTTTGGTCCTGTCAAACCTGTGTTGGAATATACTACGTCAGTCTGGACTCCAATGTATTTTAACGTACAACGAAAACTTGTAAATGCTATAAATTATAGAATTAATAGACAGAGACATTTTTTTAGTTATGGTGAAAATCATAATTTCTATTGTACGCAGTCTTTGGAAACAAATTTTGATCTATAAAGTTGGAAACAATTTGATCGAATATCCTTTCGTGTTGGAAGAAACATACTGTAATAGTAATCCCTACATTCTTCGAAACAGACAAACGTTCGCTATATCTAGATATCATTCAGACTACTCTTCTAATTCTCCAATTATCAGATGTACCCGTACTTATGACAAGATAGAGAACGCGTTTCCGGACCTTGAAGCATTTGCTCTGAACTTTGAAGTCTTTAAAAGCTGTAATTAGTTCCTAATTAGATTTGGCTGACAAAGTATCTTTTTTTGTGACATTTTGTGCTTTCCTTTTATTGGACAGCTGCGTCTGTCTGTAGGAAGGACTTATTTATAAATAAATAACCAAATAAAGTTATAAACATATGACACAGCAACGTTATGATGTGCTCGGCAACAGTAACTTAAATGGAAGTGAGCATAAAAGTTAAGCAAGACTGTTTCTGATCATCTCTTTCAGATGATCAAATCTCGCATCAATGACAGAAAATCAGCAGTAGATAAACTAGATGTGACAATGGGGTCAAAACGAGAAACGACAAAAAGACACAGTCGTTGGTCTAGAAAAACAACATAGACGAAAGTGCAGAAGACAACTCAAATCGCAAACAAAAAGTAACATGGAAAAGAGAGGATTAGAGGACGAAGATTGGCAAAAAGGGGCATAGAGAAGAAGGTGCGAGAAATGGCATCGATTAGAGCCAATTCCATATTTGGAAAGGCTCCTTTAGTCAGTTCTCCAGAATATTTTATTGGACACTCGGCATGAATCGCTATCTATATAAGCATTACCATTGGCTAGTTCATCTTCTCCCTCTTGGTGGTGATGCCCCTTGCACAACCCCAAACACGTGGTCAATATTTTGTCGTCATTAGTTAAGGATCCGTCCAAGGAGGTGTCGTCTTCGGCGGAAAATGTTGTAGATGGCAGAACGGTGCCGCGCGTCGTGACGCACTTAACTGACGCGTGGCGCTTTTTGAAAAATTCTAAGGCGGCACGGGCCGACTGGGCGACCCGGCGAACGTGTTCGGGGTTGAGGGCGACTCTGAAGTTTACATGACTCGGTGCCGCTACTCCGCCTTTGCTTAGACCTTCCAACTCGCTGAGAACTGCAATCGAAAGAGAAATAAATTATAAGGATACTAGGATCTATTGCTCTAACAAGGGTCTTTACTTTTCTAAACAGACCTATAACAATAAGTACTGCTTAAGTATACAGTATATATTAAGGAGGGTCAAAAAAATTTTTTTGTAGATCTGACGCACAATAACTAGTTGCTAGTTACCTCCAGAAAGTACTTACCACGTATGAGGTCTTAATATGAATGGGCAGATTATCTTAAATTATATTAAATAGGAAATTGAACGCTCTACAAAAATGGTCTCTTATGCTTTTTTGATAAATCGAACGATTTCAAAGATGGTCGAGGTCAAAGATTGACGAATTTCAAGAAAAATAACATTTTGTTCTAACATTTCACGAAAATTATTGAAAAATAATTATCGTGAAATGTTTTCCATTTTTATTATAGGAAATTTAATTAACATTTCGCACCAAAAATTTGGATATATAAAAAAATAATAAAAAAACAAAAAAAATAAAAACAAGAGAAAAACACTACTCACTTATTATAAAATGTATATGACAAGACAAGTAAAACAGTTCTGTAAGTTTTCCTGCACACAACTTAACAAACTACCACTAAAATTCTAACAAATACAATTTACCTAAATGCGTGAATGCCATTTTCTAATAGTTATCATTTTAAATATAAGTCCACATTTAACATAGTTACGTAAATTATTTATTTTTTGAAGCATCAAATGTGATTTTCATTTTGTCCAACCTGTTAAAATATTGCATAGTAACTTTGCAAACACTAGAATTAAAAATATACAACGTGCTCCATAAAAAAACAAAGGTTTTATGATGTATTGAGAAATAATTTTTACGCACTTAATTTGGTACATCTGTATTAAAAGTGTCCAACTTAAATCAGAAAAATTCGATATAATTATTTATATCCAGGATATCCAGGTAGTCATTACATAGGTCATTATATCATGCATAAATATTTTTTAGTCATAATAAAACGTAATACAACCAACAGGCAACAGCAAAACGCACTCTCCGCTAGCGTTGTGGAATTGACCGGTCAATTTTTTTTGTGTCAATTGACCAGTAATTTACATTTATCTATTTATACTTATTTATACTGTGCATTACGTCGACGTCGCGTCGTTCTCAGAACTAAATGGAATGAATATTTTTATTGAGATTCCCCGAATCACGAAGTATCGTATTTGAGGGTTAAGGGGGTTATAGGTAAATTTTACATCACTAACGCATTTATTATAAAATAAATATTATGATTACACAACGATAGATAATACTCTACAGTTGCAAGATATTATTTAAAACATTTTGATCGAATTTGACTAGTTAATTAGGAAGTGGTCAATTGACCAGCCCCAAAACTACTTTCGACAACCTCCCTATTAGTGCTATCAGCTAATTAGAGTAATTTTAGCTTGATGGATAAGAAATAATTACGGATCCTTTATTCAGGTACATAAGGCATAAAAAGTGAAATTTCAGTGTATTAGTGGAAAGTAAGACCCTGAACCGTAATTCGTATAAACGAAATTAATATGTAATGTAAATATTTCTAAAGTTACATTTTCGCAACAACAAGTCATAATTTGAAATCTACTTATTTGAATATCATGTCATTGAATGTTGGTCATCACTCTGACAGACGATCATTCGTCTTGCATATTTCAATCTGAATCATATATCGAACTGTAATGATACTGACAATGATACTTGTCATCTAAGGAGCTTACATTGAAACTCAGAAGGTTATATAACAATTACGATTATAAGTAATCTTTTAAATAGCAGATAATGATCACAGTTGCTGCCGATGTCACGATTTGTATTATTGTTTTTGTGTTGCTTCCATTATTAACATATAAAGCGCACTAAGCACAAATACAAACTGGCGTAGATTAAATACAAACACACCTTTACACTAGCCAAAAATAACATGAGAATACAGTATAACATATCGCCGTATCGATCGTATAGCAGCGGTATGACGTCGCGATCATTCCCGCGGTTTTAGTGTCGTTTAAAAAGAATAGCCGGCTGTAACAACTTGAATTATTTATTGCAGCTTAAATATTAAATTTAGAGTTTTTAAACAAATGCATTAAAGAAATTAAAAAAAAATGTTCAAGTTTTTTGCTTATCAATGACCACACCAAGTAGTTTAGCTGAACTGCCAGTCGTAATGGCTTAATGTTAATAATGGTTAAATGTTGAGTCAAGGTTCAGTTTTAAGGTGATATTTTCGAACCAATAAGTATTTTTATTTTTCTACCTGTTTGTGTTTTTTGAGGATAAATTTTAAAAGTAATATGCATTAGTACTTAGTGTTAATTTTTCGAAATCATTTCACGTAGAAATAAGTAATTTGCGAAATTTGGCAACATTGTTAATTTTCTGTTTTTAATATGACTTCTTAACAATGCTCTAAAACGGTTGTGAACAAGTGATAAGCAGCTAATTCCCAGTTGCAGATCTTAATAATTCAAACCTTATACACAGTTTTTAATTTCATTGGTCAGTTAAGCCAAAACGGTAAGTCAGAGACCCGTACTATGTTATATTATTGAAATTGCTATTAAAGTGGCTATCTGAAAATAAAATAATATACAGGTTGTCTCATTTAAGAAAACTGAGAAAAGTATCATTTTGCGAAACGTGGCGACATGAAAATATTTTAAATTTGATCATTGCCTAAATAAAAGCATTATTTTCGTAAAAATAACAGATGGGAAAAAGTTAATAAGCAAGCGAAACGGTGCATCACAGACCCATACTCATATATATAGTTGAGTTTCTCTTTGAAAGGACTATCCAAAAATGCAATAAAATGTAGGGTGTTCTATTTAAAAAAATGTAACTTTGTTTTACCACCCTGTACCTAAAAAAGTGACGATTAGGAAAATAAATAGCTTTCGAGATAAGGTATAGGCCCCTCTTAAACGGGCCACCCTGTTCAAATAAATAAATAAAATCTGAACATTAGACAATTCCCGAACTGAATTCTTCGCAGCGCAAAGATAAAACTTGGACTTGAAGCGGGCGCATGGCAGTTGGCTGCGTGCAAATAATGATTATGTAAATCGCGCATCGACTTTAATCACCGGTCTACGCATCCCCTGCGCCATTATTGTCATTGCCCGGCAATTGGACGTTTTGTGTTGCCGCCGTGCGAAATCGAGGCGGCAAAATTTATGATGATGATTTCCATCGCTGACGGCTGAAGAAAATTGTCTTCGCATCGGTCAAGCGGGTCAAACTTCTTTACAAATTACGATATATTATACGACCACAAATTTTACCTGTAATAACTCTTCTCAAAAAAAAAAAACGAATATCACTCCAAACAGATTCTCTATTTGCTCTTTTCAAATTTCAAAAGACGTTTGCTATCTAACTTCTTTAAATACTTAAAATGTATATCCAAAAATGTGTTCATCAAAGTGGCGAAAATAACATATTTCAAATTCGTAATTGAAAGATCTGTTCCTGAAAATATTTCAGGTGTTTTTTCATCAAGATAGTATTACAGTATATTTGACATCTGACGATGTGATGGCCATAAATCACTGATTCGACTGCCTCACGAAAAGCTACAGAGGGAACGTCTTCTTGAAATTGAAAGTAGAAACTATTGAGAGAATTTTAGTTTTGGTATTATTTTTGTAGTTGGTCCAGAATTATAATAATAATAATAAAAATATGCTAAGATATATACTAAGATAATATACTAAGATTACCAACCTTCCAAATGTTCTTGGAGTATTCCTTGAAATATTTTTTTCTTTTAAATTATGAGAACGGAAAGAAACCAAGTTAACAACAAATATGATGGCGGACATTTATTTTTTTCATAATCCATAACCAGTTATAAATTATAAGAATACTTTTGCAACCATTCAATTTTAGTGTAAATTCTGATTTATCTTCGATTTATAATTTGTGTATTCTTCGACTTTATATTTCGATTCCAAATTAAAATGTCTAATAAAATTTAAGTCAAATATGAAAACTGCTTATTGCTCTGTAAAAAATGTGTAAAATAAGAGCAGATTAAATATACATATATATAATTATAATTATAGAATTAACACAATACTTTTGAAAGGACCAAAATTCGGATGCCTTTTGCATCGCAATTTTCCGTTAGTAGTTCTACCGATCGAGATTATACTTTTACTCCAGAAACATGCTTCCACAATCAACAATGACATTTACTACAATAAAAATTTAAAAACAATTAAATTGCAATAACCAATTTTGATAAAACACAAAACGTTAAAAAAAAATATATGAAATATTTAGACAATCAAAGAATTTTGGGCCTCATGAAACAGTAAGGTAGAATTTACGAAAAGATTAGGGAAATCGATGGGACCACTGTACAATCATTTACGGACACTCAAGGAAAAAACTGAGGTCCGCTTGTCCTTATTGTAAAAAAAAAGTTAACCATTATTCATTGCATTGTTTAATTCAATTTGAATACCTGAAAACTCAAGAACATTTAAGTTCGTTTCTAGGGGTTAAAAAATAGAAAAATTGTGCATATTCCATTTTCCTACTTGCAGCACATGCATATATATTATTTGACGGAAGAACTTGACGAATTTAGCGCTAATCCGCAACATATTTTTGTGCCTGTGTTAATAATCTATCTCGATTAGTTATACCTCAGAACTGGTTCAATTTGTAGACGTTAATGTGCTGAGTCGAATAAGTTTCCTGAACTCCACCACCCGAGGCTCGAGACAAATTTACACGGCTAAAAATAACGAGGAGCCACTCAACAAATTACACGTGATCGGTCCCAATAGACCGTAACCGATGTCTACATTAAAGCCAATCATCGTACAATGAATATTATAGAATTATCTTGTCAATATCGTTCGTCTACGGGGCAAATGGCTACCAGGGAGCCGTCGATCCTCAAACGGATAACGCGGTAAACGATAGATATCTTGGGATCCATCTTATTTGTTCTCTACCGACACGCCACAATCAATCCAGCAGTGGGACCGCCTGTCACATAGAATTCGATTATGGTTTTCTATCTTCCGTACCTACATGCTATTTATTCACCTAGAAATCTATTAATCGACTAAATGCGAAGCGATTCCAAAAGTAATCGTCTATTGCCACTCACCAAACGTTGGTACCGATGGTTTAGATTATAAATAAATAACATTGCAATTTCAAAAAACAAAAACGCGATTCCTGTTCCACTACCGATTTGATCTGGACTTTAGACACTGTTGTAAACAAAAATTCATAGATTTCCAAACACTTACTCTCCAATCTACAACACTCGCTGCAAGGAGGCTTGGGAGCTTTTTGTTCTAGAAATGTTCCAGAAAAACCGAAAATTTTAACGTAAAAAATTAATTAAATAATATATATAGATTATGCCCGAATTTTAGCAATCAGAAAGGTAGCAGAGATTTTTTTGGAAGATTACAAATACTTTTAAAAATAAATTTTGGATAGTTTTGGTTAATAAATTGGTTTTAAGTTTGGCTTGTTTGAAAGGTGCTCGTAGCTTTTTTTAAATAGCATTATTCGAAACAGTTTGTGAACTTGGTTCTCTTCCCTTTCTTTCAAAACGTGGTAATTGACCGTTTCTTAACTGGCTAGTTAAAAAATGTTTTAAAGGACATCTTAACATTGCAGAGTCTAATCTATTATAATATATTATAACGATATAAATAAATAGAAATAAATATAAATTTCATGATATTTTTAAAATTATTTCGGTCAATTGACACAAGAAAAATTGACCACCCAATTCCACAACGCTAACGTATAGTGAAACTTGTAAACCTGCAAATGCTAAAACCAACTGACGCCCCACCGACATCGAAAACTATAATAATATTATATGCATAGAATGTAATAACAACATTACTCACCAATAATCGGTACCATCACCGTATAAGTGTGCGATTGAGCGATGGTTTGTATACTGTCCAAGTGGTCTATGAAGCAGTTGGTGTCTGGCACTAGATATTTCGGTCTAACCTCCAAATGGACGCTCACCACGGATTGGCTCAAGATTTTCTGAAACAAATTGATATCCCACAATACTTTATACGTACAAAATATTTTACCAACAATTTAATAACTAATGAGATGAGACAGATACTCGTAAATTAATATTTAAATAAATGATTTAATAGCCATATATATGTATATATAATATTAGAATGAATTTGTCATGTTTGTTATTAGAATGTTATAACATGATTTTCATTCTGAATGCATTACCTTAATTCGACACGCCTTTAGTGGTATTTAATATCAAATTTTGTGCCTTGACTAACCTCTGTAGCTTTTGCTTTCACAACAGAGAAACCAATCCTAACGTAAACAAATAGTGAAAAACGATAATTATAAAAATAATGATAATTATTATTCTATTAACCGATTTTCTATTTAGTATAGTATATTTTGAAAACTGCCAAAACTGAAACGATAAAATTCAATACCTCGGAGGAACATGCACAATTCAAAAACGCTAAGAGCATTATTTTCAGATTTACCACTTTTAATACAAAAATTCTTACCTCAGAAAACCTCCAGGTATTGAATTTTATTGTTCCAGCTTTGGCAGTTTTGAAAATATTTAAGCGTTCCGGTAATTTTTACTAACCCGATATAATGTTTTAGGGTCAACTAAGAAAAGAAAAAAAAAAAGATGTTTATTTTGCGGATGTGATGTGAAAAAAAAATTTTAGTTAATATTCAATCTCGATTGCCAACAGCAATAGAATTGCCAGATCAGTTGACTTAAAACTCCGATCTCGTTAAGCGGAAACAAAAGAAATTTAAAGTGGGGCAGCGGGCGCCACCGGCGCTTTTACAGTCCCGCGCTACTCCTGAATAATGCAATTTTGATCGTGCGATTTTAAAAAATCTGAATAATTCATCGGCGACAGCCGGCGATTTCGTGACACCGACGATCCACTTATCAGAGACCGCGCCTCTGTCGTCAAAATCTGTTATTTATAAAGGAAAAATAGTTAAATAACTATTGCGATATGCTGGGAGCATTGTAGAGCCTTTTTCACTGTTGCTGTTGCGCACTTATATAAACATCCTCCGGAACGATCTAAGACCCTTTTAGGAATTAGGAAAAAAAATAGGTGAAATTTTTTAATAACGTTTCCGCTACAGAGTCTTTCTACCCATAATATAAATTATAATGGCTAATTTAATTTGGGGTTGTGCATTCCAAGCATCACTTAAAGTAACTCATTACATCAAGAGCTGTCCTGGGTAAAAATTTATACCTTTTTATACCTTTATTAAGTGTGCGTTAGATTTATATTTTACATAATATGTGTGGCAACACTGTGAGTAGAAAAACTGAGCGGCACCATGAAAATATAAGATGCGTGGCGACCTCTGTTGTATTTTCCTTTTTGTGTATGTGTACTGATATATAGCATATTAAGAACACAGTCTTTTCTGTACTGATCGACACAGCAACACCCTCATAAGGATTTTATGGAAAACAATGCCCACTCTACTCCACACCAAAATTAACAGATTTTTTTTTCTACTCCCGTCTGTAAAATACCTAATTACGCACCGATCTAGCATGCGGGAAGCGTCGCTTTACCACGTCAGTTTCGTTTCTCACGAATCCGAGCCACTTCGGACATTTCCGGGATTTTACCGCACGGGTTTGGGAGCAATCGGAATGTTTCGGAGATATTTCCCACGCCTTGAATTTTGACGTTTGTCAATTCTGACAGTCTGGTCAGTGAACGTATTCGTATTTTGCAAAAATGTACCCGAAAACTAACGGTCGTAGAAAAAGTATAGTATGCAACACGTTCGGTAAATTTTTTCACTCGCTAGTTTATTAAACACTAGCTCCGCTCGTGTCAAATAAACTATTTCCTATTTAAATAACATCATTGTTAAGACTTTAAACGACAGCAATATGGACATTTTCATCTTAACAAAAATAGTTATGAAACAAGACCTTAACCAACATTACTACCAGTTAGTTATTAGAACTAAACAAGAGGAATGTAATTTTCCCTGGATAAGCGGCAAACTGCATTGAATGTAACCTACGCCGTAACCGCGTATAATTTCTTTTTTCGTTTTCTATATACTGGTAAGTAAAATTAAATTGTTTCGGTCAAAATATGCTCTAAGATTCTGTATTTCTAGATTGGATAGTAGAAGAACAAAAAAAACAAAACTACTGTAATCTGATATAACCATCACCATAACGCCATGAGACTGACGAAGATCTTGAAATGTATGAAATATGGCACTATTTCAATTCATTAAATTTTTGGTGGCGTATTTGTTTAGCCGAACTAAATTAATAAATTTCACATATTCCAATTCTGTCCTTTCTTTAAAGATTGTTTAAATATTCGTTGAAAAGGGAATAGCCTCAAAATAGATCTATTTACTAATTGTTCACATTTTCTAAAGCAGCTACAAAAATTACGTGTATATTGATCTCTGATGGTAAAACCTTAAGAGTTCAATTTCTGCACTATAAAAGCAATGCATTCAGTATTTGAGTTGAATGAGTGTAGTAATCATCATAAGCAAAGTACATCAAACAGAGAAAGATACTATCTTTTATCAGTTCATGACTACGATACTAATTCCGTAGGAAATGAATACTAAATCAATACTACCTTACCGGCCAATTTTTTGGCTACCCTAGAAATATTCTTATTTTTCCAAATTAAAATGATTATAACGTGCAAAATCCATATAATTGATTTTTTTGTTTTTTTTTTATTAAACACTTGTGACTTAAAAAGTTTACCAAATGTGTTGTATACTATACTTTTTCTACGACCGTTAATTTTTGGGTACATGTTTGCAAAACAAAACGAATACATTCACTGACATGTTCATCAGAATTGACAAACGTCACAATTGAAGACGTGCGGTAAAATCTTCGTAAACTTCCGATTGCTCCCGAATCCGTGTAGTATATAAAGGAAATGTCGAATCCGTGGGACAAGAAACTCATGTGGTAATAATAATTGGGTATTTTAAAGAAGAAACTGGTAGTAATGTTGGTTAAGCTCTTGTTTCATAACTATTTTTGTTAAGATGAAAATGTCCATATTGCTGTCGTTCAAAGTCTTAACAATGATGTTATTTAAATAGGATCACAATAATGTAACAACCGAATAGATCTGATTATCAACATATTAAAAATGCTACTCTTGATTCTACATTTCTTCTTTTACGGGAAAAGGACGAGAACGAAGATATGTTATGCTTAATTTTAATGAGCCTGCAACGATTTGAAGATGGAGAACCCTTCCGAAACGCCGACGTGACAAAACGATACTTTTTAGGGAGTACCTACGAGGACTGAAATATTCCTGTAGAACGCCCGATGTAAACGTTAAACACAGGAAAAAAAGGAAGGAAACACTTTACTTATAGTACAATGTTGCATTATTGCACTATGCATTTAGCATATTATGTGTGTATGTGCGAGTGTGTGAACGCGCATTCAGCTCGACGTAATAAGGCGCTAAAAGCTTACCATTTCGGAAAGACCGTGAAAAGGTTATTGTCACGGTCGGCGGTCGTAAAAGTAACCCGTGGGGCGTTGGCGTAGCTGTTTATGCGGATTTTTTTCATATTTCGAGCGCGGGAAAGTGCACAAGTATTGTCTAATGGCGGAAGCGAAATCAAATAGCACCCGACGAATCGTTCAGTTTTCCTCTCTTTTGTTCCTTAGATTCAATGCCGGGTCATCTTTTTTACCTGCATTTGCATGCATGAACTTAAGCACGTTAAGCATTTAGTTGTATATTATTAACAGCCTCTAGCTACCTATTTACGAGGCTCCCTATTGGAATTCCATTGATTTTTGCGTCAGCTTCAGTTGTCACATTTCTCTTTGTGGTTGGGACTATTAATCATTTCAAATTTCAGACTTAAAAAAAATATATCAATAAGAAAGATTCTCTCGGCCAGGGGTCGGCAACCTATAACCCGCAATTTCAAGTTCCGAAAATAAAGTATAAGATATACAAACATTTTTTTCTTTTTTCCAAAAATATTTTATCCAGAATTTGTAAACGTACAAAATTTGAATCCAGTATAACATATAAAAATATCATCCTGACCGGATATGGAATCGGCTGATAGTATGCGAAATGTAGCGGCCCTGTCCGAACAAATCATATCATTCCTGAACGCACGAGACATTATCTTAGTTGTGTGTCACTTACAGTTATAGCACGTGTAGTACTGTACCACAATAACATTGGCCTAGTGATTTAGTGAAATAAATATTATTATTTAAAAAAATAACATGAACATACAAAAAGCAAAAGAGATTATTTCAAGATGAGTTTGTCGAAAATGGTGACAAGATATAGACTTTATGTACAGATATAATTACCGCCTAGACTTATAATATTGAACACTTCTTCAAAACATAAAGATGTGAGTGCAATGGCAAATGATGATAAATCTGAATACATACTAAACGTGTATTAAATTTTGGAAAACAAAATAAATTCTTAGTTTTGTTGCCAGCAACAATCACACATCTGCCAGCTTTGTTACAGCTCTTAGCATTGGTACCAACGGAAAACCACTTACAGATGGCGAGTTTTTGCAATAAAAAAAAATTGAGAGAATCAAATAAATACCATTGTCAGCTAGAACAGTCCAGGGTCGCGTTGGAAGTATGGCCCAGAATATTGATGAACAGGTCAAAAATGATTTGTAATCTTGTGACATGATTGGCATTGCAGTTGACGAAAGTACCGACATAAATAATATTGGTAGTTTTGCAATAACTATCAGCTTTGAATCAATAAATAGTTCCAATGTCAATGAAGAACTATGCGTACAAGAGTATACAAATTTCAAAAATGGGCAAGTATTGGGATTTAAAAACTAAATTGTTTTCCATAGCAACTGACGGTACTCCAAATATGAGAGTAAAAACTGTTGGATTTGAAAAACTAATGGAAAATTAACTTGGCCGTTCACTGTTATCGTTTAGTTGTATGATTGTAAACATGATAATAGCACGGTCAGCA